TGCTAGGCACCCCAAGCTTAGGAATTTGGTATCCTAGGCATAGCACTTCCTTTGAAATCTTAGGGTACTCAAATTCTGATTTTGCAGGATGTAGGATAGATAGAAAAAGCACCTCTGGTACCTATCAATTCATAGGACAATCATTTGTTTCTTGGTCCAGTAGGAAGCAAAACTCAGTGGCCCTTTCCACAGCCGAGGCGGAATATATTGCAGTAGGAAGTTGCGTTGCACAAGTACTATGGTTAAAACAACAAATTCATGATCTTGGCCTACCTGTAGGAACCATCTCAATCATGTGTGACAACACAAGTGTAATTTGCATCTCTAAGAACCCAATTCAGCACTCTCAAACGAAACACATAGACATTAGACACCATTTCATTAGAGATCACGTTGTTAAGGGAGATATAGAATTGCATCACATCGCTACAGGAGATCAATTGGCTGACATATTAACCAAACCACTAGCATTCAACACCTTTACCACCTTGAGGACTAGATTAGGTGTCATAGACATTAATACATAACACAAAAAAAAAATTCTTCTAAGGCTGCTCCTGATCATCACACACCCACTACAAAAAAAAAAAAATCTATGAATTTAACATTTTATCATACTGTACGATATTACTATCGTACTGTACGATATAGCTCGATTGACACAAAACACAACCACCAGCAAATTTTGCCTCTGTTGATCGTACCGTACGACCACTATCGTACAATACAATACAGCTGGTAGGCATTTAACCTGTTTGGTACGACATTATTACTCATCGTACTATATGATACCTCCCTTCATACGGTATGATCCACATCCTCAAAATGGATTGGGATGAATTAACTCTGCTGGGTACGTTATTATTGGTGTTCATACTGTACGATACCTCCATTCATACTGTACGATCCACCTCAGCAAACGGATGAGAACGACATTAAAGGGTTTCGATATAATATAATTATCATTCATACTATACGATACATCTATTCATACGGTACGAAACTTTTGGTCAAAAGTCATCCTGACGACCCTTAGGATGATCGATTTTCTTCTGATCTTATTGTACGATACCCATCGTACTGTACGCTTTGACCACCTTTTCCTGATACGATTCATCAGAATAGTTATTGCCATATCGTACTGTACGATATCTTATCGTACTGTATGATGTTTTAAAAAACTATATAAATTGGCTGGCAAGGCAAAACTCACTTCACTCACCTCCACTTGTTCCTTCTCACCTTTCACTCAGCCTCTACACGATGTCTAGTTCAAGCAAGAGAGGTCATATGGTAGTGGGAAGCTCATCTTCCTCTCGCCTCCACAGCGCTCGGTTCTTGAATGCTGGCAATGAGGATTCATACCATAAGTTCAAAGCATGCAAAATTACGCCATCCAGACTGCTTAATCAGGAGGCTCTGAATTTCGAGGTACTGAACCTCTTTGCTTCCACCACCCTCCAGTTCCTTCTCACCCTAGCCTTCCTATACAACTCTGAACTCCTTTTAGAATTCCTTGCAAACCTAACCTACACCGTCGATAACCTCACTTTTCACTCCTTTGTTTATCGTCAAAATGTCAAAATTACAAAAGCCGACATCGCCCAATACATTGGGCTATCTACTGAAGGGCCTATGGTTCGTTCATTTCTCTAGAATGACTTTGACTGGAGTGAGGTTAATCAAGTCCTTAAGAATGCCACATTTTATCAACACCAACCTCTCGTACAATCACTCACTCGAAACTCCAGAATCATTCAACACGTCCTTAGAACCTCCATTATACCCAAAGCTGGCGATCGTGTTAACATGACCCCAACTCTATCTGTCGCTACATATCTTATTATGACTAACACCAAATTTGATGAGGCCGATTTAATTATTAACTACATTCGCCATATGACCTTTGTTCATCTCCCTACTACTCGTCGAAAATAAAATATAGCTCTTGGTCACCTTATAGGATACATCCTTCAAAATAAATATCAACTGACCTATCCTGGTGAACCTGATAATCTTCCAATCTATTATACGCACGCCTCTTTTTGTATTCTTTTCCATCGGGGACATGAGCCTGAAGAACCCGTCTTTAATGAAGAAGAAGGAGAAGATGCCCCAGCAGCAACTCCAGCTCGACCACGACGACATGCAGCACCCCGAGCTCCTGCACCAGCTTACCCTCACGACGATTTGGTCGAATGCTTCGACCAACTTCAGACCCGTCTCGATATGCACATTCAAGAGCAACATCAGCAACACGAGATCGACATGCACTGGTTTGGGGAACGATTCAATGTGATTGATCAATGTTTTGACATGATCCTTCACTACTTCCAGCCACACCTACCTCCACCACCAAGCAATCAGGATCCTTCCCTTTGAAGTGTTTGTGTTGTACTTTTCTTTCTTTAGTGTTTGCTCTTTTTGGTGCTGTCAAAAGGGGGAGAAGTTTGTTGTAGTTTTCTTTGTATTGTAGTTTGTTTGTGTTAAATATAATGCATTTCCTTTCGTATTGCATTTTCTCTTTAGTGTTTTTCATGTTCTTATGTCAAAAAATAAAAAATAAAAAATTAAATGCCCTTCAAACTTGCTAACAACAAAAGTTATTTGACATCATCAAAAAGGGGGAGATTGTTGCGACCCATGACCCCAAGATTGAGATTTTGATGATGCCAAATAATGTTGCCTAAACTACTTTTTATTGAATATCATTTAATGTTTGCTATTGTTCGTGAGTACTAATATTTCAGGAAGATCACAAGCCACTCACGACAACGGGAAGACTCAAGACTAGTTGGATTAGGAGTATGAGTTGGACAATGTATTTTGTTATTTATTTTATTTTTTATTTTCTTGAGTCTGGCCACAAACTGCAGGTAAGACTGAGCAATCATGCACACACACAAGGGGAGAGGGTTTTTAAAAGTAAGAAATATAGTTTTTGATTCTCTAGTAATCATACGGTACGAATTCATTTTGCATTGTACAATCTACTATTATAACACGTGTTCTGTGAACACATCGTACTGTATGAATACTATCGTACGGTACGATCTGTTTCAAATCCAAAACCCTAACCGTCATGATAAGTCAAGTATGATATTTTGCGCCGTTCGTACTGTACGACAATGTTCGTACGGTACGATCTATTTTAAATACATACTTAAATTAACCCTTTATTAGTGCAAGAAATCAAGGCTTAATTAAAATTGAAAATCGTACTGTACGAACCCTTCGTATAATAAGATGAACAGAGATGAATTCTGATCGTCCCTGAGATCGTCCTGAACGATCCTGTGTTTTTTGTCTCATCGTACTGTACAATTACTATCACACCATACGATGAACATAGATGATATTTGATCATCCCGGAATTCATCTTGGATGATGCGTTGATTTTCACTATTTGTACGGTACGATGTAGATCGTACCATACGATGAACAGAGACGACATTTGATCGTCCCGGCTATCGTCCTGTACGAGTAGTGTGTTCTGAATCATACCATATGATATATTATCATACTGTATGATTAGTTTTTGAATATTTATGCACCTTTGTACCAGGACGAAGCTAGTTTGTACATATCGTACTGTACGACCAATAATCGTACTGTACGTTTGTAATGACTACTTTTGAAATCTTAGGAATTTTGGAGCCCATTTTTATGTGAAAAACTTGTCATATTTTGAGAGAGAAAAAAGAGAGAAACGTGAGTAGAGAGAAAATCCTAGAGAGAGCTCTTGAGAAGTTTGAGGGGTTGAGAGAGGAAGGAGAAGGTGAGCTTGGTGAGGGAGAAGAGGTGTGAGGGAGATCACACGATTGCTCCGATATTGCTGCAACTTGCTCCTCCTGTGGCCCGGGAAGAACTTGTGGGAGGCTTTCTAAGGGGGAGACTCGTCTACGTCCATTGACCTCGAAGGTACTCTTCCTTCTCA